GTGAAACTGAAGAGGAGAACATAAAAGGCAGATGATGACAGAACAGAGCCAGGCTGTGACCAAACCACGTACACAGACAGAGCGGGACAGAGGTGCTGCTGCATGTTTGCTAGGCTGAGGCTGTGCAGGCATCTTCTAAATGCAAGCACCTGCACTCACTTTAAATATGTCTTCCTACTACAAAAAGGGTAAAAATGATGAAGTTTTATTCCATTGACTGTCACCTCATGATTGCAATATCTGATATTTGATGTAGTTGTCTTATAGACTTATCCAATCACCTATAAGAAAAAAATAAATGAAGAAAAAGGAAAAAAATAAATGGCAAAACAAAGCAATGTCTCGGTCTCCAATTATAATATCTTTTTTTTTCTCCAGGTGTTTGATCATTCTCCTAGATCTTTCCTGAACCTTTCCAGTTTTTTGATGGCTTTTCGGAACAGTGAGTTATTTTAATAACGATGTACTGGTGCCAAATGCAGAGATAATGTCACCTCTCTACTCCTACACAGTATTTCCATGTGCATGTGCTTTGCAAAGACTGCATTAGTCTTTTCAGCATCAACAGCATATCGTGAGCTCATGCTCAGCTGATTATGAAATCCTCTCTTCCCCCTCCAAGTCTTTGTGAGTCACTGACTGGCAAGATAAAATCTCCTATCCAGTTTGGTTTCCAATTTATGGTCTGTATAATATTCACAGTGCTTCGTGACAAGATTTAACATCGAATTTTGTGAGGGACAGAAGTAATGAAATCTCCTTTCCTGCATCTCTGCCTTGCAATGTTCTGGTGTCTGAAGGAGAGCAAGCACTGAGCCTTTCTGTCATGGAGAAGTCAATGCAGTCACTCCTCCCTGCCCAGTTGAGCTTTTAACAAAACAGGTTGGGATAATGTGACGAGACCTCTGTCTCTCTGTCAAGCCTGAAGTTTTATGAGTGGAGAAAAGGCAAATGGAAAACAGACATGCAATGCAACCATGTGAGCCCTGTTTTCCTGGGAAATGAGAATAAATATCTGAGATATTTTTGTGCTAAAAGAATTTAAAAAAATGCCAAAGTTGCACCTCACAGGCTTTGTGATGGAACATAGTAGCTGAAATGTGGTCCTGGGCCATGGTCAGGATGAGGAGGCAGGCAGGTAGGTCAGGGCCAGGAAGGGCTGTGGGTGCTCTCAGGGGTACAGCAGGACACGGGTGGTTATACCTGAAGTGGCAGCAGAGAAATCAGGGACACTGGCTAGAGCTCCTTGATTTCCTGATAACAGTAGAATGAACTGTTGCCCCACACTGTTGGACCACAAGCGGATTGAAGACAGCCTGACAGGAGCCACACAGAGCACCTGTGTTGGGGTGTCCCTTCCTTCGAGTCCTTAATTAGGGTACCCGCATACCGTTGTGCTCTTGTGCTCTCTGAGCCTGAGGAAATGGGACTTTGATGGCCTAGTGGCTGGGAGCTGCTGGGTTGGTGTGTTATCTGGGCTCGCTCTCCTGCTGTTGTCTTTCTGTTCGCCTTTGGGGGTGTGCAGATGAGGTTTTAGCCCATATTACCAAACGTCTGGGGCTTGCTGTGCCTCTGCAGTCTGCCCTCAGCTCTGCTTTCCTCTCCTGACAACCTCAGCAGTGAGGTCATGCTTGCTCAAGGTGCCACCCGCTGCTCTCATCCCTTTCCATACTACAGCATAACCCAGACAGCCTCCAGCAGCCAGCAGAGCATGACTCAACCACCCACATAGACCCAGTCCCATCCTCACTACCTTTTTTATCTTTCCTCCATCTCCCTCTCCTTAGACAGAAAGAAGCACCTTCACTTTTCTAACAGCACCTGCTGCTGCAAGTTCATTGCCACTCCGAGGGGTCTCACTGCCAACACAACAACCCTCCCTCAACATCCTGTAACAAACCCTCTAAACAAAAGCCTGCATCAAAACTACTCTCAGGGTAGTGAGAGCTGGAAAACTCAAATGAATGCAATGGCAACTTTTATTACTAAAGAGAGAAAAAAGCCTTTTTTTTCCTTTTCTTTTTTGTTTTGCTTTGTTTGCTTTGTTTTTCCTCAAGCCTTCTTCCTCCTTCAATCTCTCCTGCTTGCCATCACCATCCAGAAAACGGGAATGGGGAAAAACCAAAGAGAGGTATAAAAATCCCGTAGCAAATAAATACTCTATCTGCATAGTCTGCCTGTGAATACTCTTCAAGTGGGAGGCAGCTTCGCAGGGACTAACCAAGCAGACGAGTTAACCTCAGACAGCAGCCAAACACCCACGCAGCCACTCACTCACCACCCCCATCCCCGCAGTGGGACAGGAGAGAGAATAAGAAGGATAAAAGTGAGAATGTTTGTAATCCAGACAAGGACAACTTAGTAAGTGAAGGGAAGGAAAAAAAAAAAAGGAAAAAGAAAACTAAGCCAAACAGCACAAGCAATGCAAAGCCAATCACTCGCACCTCCTACCAGCAGATCCATGCCCAGCCAGTCCCCCAGAAGCGGCTAAGCTGGAAGGCAAAAGCCCCACCATTCCTCTTCATCTGCTCCAGGTTTTCTTGCTGAGGCTGATGTTTTATAGCATAGAATATCCCTTTGGCCATGTACTCCTTCAATCACTCTGTTATCACACAGGGAGAACAGACATTCCCAGGTCTGTTTTGATCATACTCTCCCATTCACTCCCATGCACATCGTGTGTATGAGAAGCCTCTTATCTGTCCATTCTCATGAGCAAACTCCCAACATGAGCTATACTTGGCTGGTCACGGTCTCTTCTGATTATTAGCAAGCAAGAGTTATATACTTGCTTAGAAAAGAGCTCAAGGATGAAAGTCTTAATTTTGCAATGCAGTGCTGCTGGCCCAGCTAGCTGTAAAATGCAGGGTATCCACACTCCAACACATCCTCATCAGTCATGATCCTCTTCCTTGTCCTTTGACACACACGGACATCATTCTCTTAGTTGGTGGAACAACCCTCAAATGTCCATAGAAGCCTGATCAATTTGGTCCATGACTTGTGCTCCACACAACAGCTTTCCACATCAGATATTTTCACTCAACACAACAAGATCCACTGGCAACAGAGCACGTTGCCTTTCACTTTCTACTAATTTATTATACTCTTGGGCCTGAGCCACCTTCTCAGGTGCTGCTCCAAAATCTCTGCCTCCTGACCAAACTGTGATCTCTTTCAGGATCCACGGCCATTCTGAGCCTTTTGATCCATTCCCCATTTGAGCCCTTTCTGTGATCGCTGCTACCCACTTACTCCATATAGCATTGATTGCACAAGTTGTAGAGGGCACCCTTCCTATGAACATCTAGTGTAGCAAAAGCACCTCGGACCCTTAATATCCCCAGCTCCAGAACCTTTGAGGTCACCCTCAAGTCTTTCCAGGTGTCCTGGTTTGAGAGCGCCAGGATAAAAATTTTCTGAGGCTCCTGGACCATGAGACAATTACAGCAGAGGAGGAGGAGCAGCTGTGCCAATAGAGAGGAGAAGATGGGTCAGGTGGCCCAAATGGACCAGTCATGGCATTCCTTCCCATGGTGCTCAGTATGTAAGGGCTCCTTTAGTGCCTGTTGTGTTGAAGGGGTGTTGTCAGTTGTTTCTCATCTTTTACTGAGCTGTTGGTGTTCCTGCCTCCTGTTTTCACACTGCAGAGGAGCACTGTTTGTTGGGACAGGTTTGCTTTCCCTGCCTCCCTCAGTAGGAGCAGCATAGCTTCTTTTGGGGTTTTTTTGGGGGGAGGGGGACTCCAGGTTTGGGCACTCCCATCTCCTGTGGAGTCCAATCTGGGACTTTTCTGCTTGGGAGCAAATTGTCATCTGGAAGGTGCAGGTTCTGTATTAATATATTCTCTTGTATTTTTGAATATATTTGCATGCTTGTATAATATCTGTATATAGTTTAATATCTTCATTGTTACTGTTAGTATTATTTTTCTCTTTCATTAAACTGGTTCAAGTTTTTTGTTCAACCTTAAAGTCTGTCTCCCTGGTTCTCCTGTTATTCTCCCCTGGGAAGGTGGTGGAGGGATCACAGTGTCTGTCAAAGTTTAGTGGCTGGCCCAGCCTTAAGCTTCAATACTAGATATTCTCTGCCAGCGGGCCCAGGTGGGGCCGTGCTCCCCGGCTACAGGGCAGAGCATGTTTGCACGGTTGGTCCTGCTGACAGGCTTGAGGGCTGTGTCCTGTCTGTCCTGCTGCTGTTTAGGGACCGTGGTGGCTTGACCTTGGATGGATGCTATGTGCCCACCAAGCTGCTCTATCACTCCACCTGCTAATCTGGACAGGGGAGAGAAAATACAACGGAGGGCTCATGGGTCAACATGAGCACAGGGAGAGAGCATCACCAATTACTGTCATGAGAAAAACCAGACTCGACTTGGGTAAATTAATCTAATTTGTTGACAATCAAAGGTCAGAGTAGGGTAAGAAGAAATTAAACCAAACCTTAAAAGGCCTTCCCCACCATCTCTCCCTTCTTCCCAGACTCGCCTTCACTGCTGATTTCTTTTTTTTTTTTCCTTCCCCTGAGTGACACAGGGGGATGGGGAATGGTGGTTTGCAGTCAGTTCATCACATGTTGCCTCTGCTGCTCATTCTTCCTCTGTTCTGGTGTGGGGTCCTCCATGGGCTACAGGAGGATATCTCCTCCACCGTAAACCTCCGTGGGCTGCAGGGGGGCAGCCTGCCTCACCATGGGCTGCAGGAGAATATCTGCTCTGGTGCCTGGAGCATGTCTTCCCCCTCCTTCACTGGCTGTGGTGTCTACAGAGTTGTTTCTCACACAGTCTCACTCTTCTCTCTTAGGTGCTGCACAGCAGTTTTTTTCCCCTTCTCAAATATGTTATCCCAGAGGATCTACCACCACTGCTGACGGGCTCAGCCTTGGCCAGTGGCAGGTCCATCTTGGAGCCAGCTGGCATTAACTCTACTGGATATGAGGGAAGCTTCTAGCAGCTCCTCAAAGAAACCAATCCTGCAGCCTCCCAGTTATGAAAAACTTACCATGTAAGCCAAACACGCTTTAAAAAGTTCTTCTTTCAGGTCACCTGACAGGATTCTCACGCTGGCTGTGACCCAGAACATGCTGTCTCCAGAAACCCACTCTGCCCAGGAAAGCTTCTTTCTTGTTAGCAGGTACATGTTTGACTGTTACCTTATGGGTCGCATCCATGGGGATGTGATGATGCTGGTCTTGCCATTGCAACAAGTTTGGAGCCATGTATCCCAGAGAAGCGAAAGGTCTTCATGAGATGGTTCCTAGAGTACTGGTGTTACCAAAATCCAGTCAATTTTAGTACTGGAATTTCTTTATTGCGGCCCCATGCATGGGGGGGATAATTCTGCCTACCATGCATGCTGTGTCTGTTACCCATCCAAGCTTATATCCACCTGTTACATACATAGGCTGAGGGTGGGGAGCGGAGGGAATGGT